ATAGCTCTGGCTATCCTAAACCTTGCTCTGTTCAGGCTGGCCTTGAACTCATGAGATCTGCCTGCCTCTGCCTCCCAAGTGCTGGGTGGGATTAAAGGCATGCAACACCCCTGCCTGGCCTACTACAAACTTGTAATCCACCACCTCAGTTCCAAAGGAGCTGGGATTACATATGTGCCAGCACACAGGAACAGATAAAACAGTTTGAGACTACAATTTTAAAAAGTATTTTATAAACTGGGCATTTACCCTTCTCTCTGAAAGTAAATACACTTTCTACCAAGAGAAAAATGCCTTCATTCAACTATACCTGATCATAGTACTCTGAATAAAACAACTTGAAAACAAGCCAGGATGATTACCAGCCACATTTGTTCTATTATATTTTAAAACAGCAAACTTATTTTAGTTAATAGTACCTCTTCTAAATTTGTCTGGTCACCTACAACTGGAATTGGATATCATCTCAAACTCAGCTTTTACCACCTGTTCATATGATCACAACACTTTCTTGATCATCCTGGTCCCAAATGCCTAAAGGTTCCCAAATCTAATCTCTTCTAACCTGGGGTCTCCCAACTTGGTAACAGGAACTGTGTTGTCCCGGGAACACCACATTTACCATTAATCTTCCCTGCAATCTTAGCATATTAGATGTCAATCATAGCACCCCACCACCTGCAATTTCTCCTTGTGGGGTGGGAGTGGGGGTGTTCTATCTTTTTTCATCCTTCAATGAAAATGAAGAAATAACTCATTTAGAATCTCTTGAAAACTCACTATAACTTATCAAAAGTGCAGATATGTATGTCATTACCAGCTTGCACTCCTTCCTATTTATCACCTCTGGGCCTCAGCAACTTCCTGCTCATTACTGGTACCTACCACTTCCTACCCATCAGACAGACTTCACAAGCTCTCTACCTCACATTTGTACTGACAATGGGGTTCAACAGAAAAAGCTCTCATATACAGAGATCTGGAGAGATCAGGTATGGGCCATCTTTGTCCTTCACCTTTAAAGTCTGGGCCAGACGAACTTTCTCTCAGATCAAGGCCATTCATGCGTGTAAGAACACCCTGTAATCAGGGAATCCAGAGCTGAGTTTTGTCTGAGTTGTCTTCTGGTCATACAGGCACAGGTAACTAAACTCAAGAGCAGAGCTCTAGGGCAGGAACTGGGCAATGGGGAGCAAAGAGACCAAGTACAAATCTTATTGTTAGTTATGGGGAGGGGGGGAACAGGGGAAGGGATGGGACACACGATGGGACAACAAAAACTGATCAAAAACTATCTCCTAAAATTCTCAGCCTCCACAGCCATAGAGCAGAACTATTCTCACTACTTCAGTATCACTTGCTCACACTTTAGCACAAGAGCTTAGGCTAATGTTAGGCCTATTGGAACTCTCCAACTTATCCGTCTAGTATGTTTTCCCTCTTCTGCCATATTGCAGACCAAACCTTAATTATCCTTCCGAGTGCAGCTCAAACAAACCTCAGTGCTCCTCTAAACTTTCCCAGATGTGAACCTCTAGTGGTGCACTTTAATGTACAGACTGTGTCTACTCTAAGGCAGTTACTACAATAGAGACTTCATCTTGAGGCTACCATTTCTATTACTTCTAAGGGGGACCTTGGATCTAAATCCATCTTGGATTCTGTTTCACCAATTGAAAGGAATAAAAACTCTTCTCTATTTCATGTTAATTTTCTTCAGAATTAAGATAAATGAAACACTTGGCATACTGTATACGAATAACATATTTTTAAACCTGTTACAGCACTATAGTATCTACAGATACAAAAATTCAAGAAATGTATATTGAACTTAAAGGAAATTCTGAATTACAGCTTACAATCCTTTGTAATTATATATGTTGAGAATTCATACACGTATATATCCTCAATTCTTTTTTGAACCTTAGTCTCCTCTCCCTCCCTCACCAATTACTACCACTAATATAAACACATATTACCAAGTCCTGTTGATTTTACCTATTGTTTTTCTCCTTCTGCACTATACTGAGTCTAAGCTATTATTGCTTCTTTTAAGAAGTATTTTTGTTATTTTCAATGATGTGTATGTGTGTGTCTGAAGAGGGTATGTGCACATGAGTGCAGAGGTCAGAGGTTGTTAGATCTCCCTGTAGCTCTAGTTACAGGTGACTGTGAGAGACCCAGCATTCAAGAGTTGCTGAAATATTAAATGAGCCTTTAACAAAAACTGTAGACTGTTTTAGACCATTTTAAGAAATCACACTGATGAAAAAAGTTCTTGCTTTACATTGGGAAGGGGCCTCTTGACTAATGGCATTTTTTTTTTTACAACAGCTTTGACAGACGGTCTTTAAAAATCCTCTCACCGAGAGTTTCCAATCACGACCGCAGTTAACCAAGAGTCCCTGTGTCAGACAAAACCCAAACCCAAACCAAACCCCCAAAAGACCCGAAAAGATCATGGAGTTATATCAAATCTTATTAAATCGGCGTTGTGGATTACAGGAGTAGGGAGCCGGGCATTTGTGTGCAAGAACAGCTAAATAACAATAATAAATCACAATCTCTTAAAAAGAAGTTATTTAATAGGTC